GTGTACTCAACACCTACCATTACCCTACCCCTGTTATACCCCTCCGCTGTGTTCTCAACACCTACCATTACCCTACCCCGTTATACCCCTTCACTGTGTTCTCAACACCTACCATTATCATATACCCTGTTATCCCCCTCCATTGTGTACTCAACACCTACCATTACCCTCCCCCTGTTATATCTCTCCACTGTGTTCTCAACAGCTACCATTACCCTATACCCTGTTATAACCCTCCACTGTGTTCTCAACACCTAACCGTACCCTACCACTGTTATACCCCTCTACTGTGTTATCCACATCTATCCATACCCTACCCCGTTGTACCCTTCCACTTGTACACAACCCACTGCCTCTAGCTACACTCTATAATAGAGACACTCTCGCTGATTGAGTGATGTGTATGTCTAGTTACCGGATCTGACTTGGGATTGGTACGATTAATTTGTCGGAGGGGGAGCTAGATAAATCCCCCTCCCTGCTTGTTTTGTTTACATAAAACTGCAATCGTCCTTTCGGTAATGTATTCCGACATTATCGAAGGGGAAGTGTATTTATTGGTCGGTTCTATTTCGTACGCTGATTATTTGGGGAGGATCCTCTTCACAACCCACCAAACTGTACACGTAAGACAATACGTCCACGACCATTGATGCGAGTGGTGGAACACATTATTTCAGGAACATTTCTAATGATTTCGGAGTATTTTTTTCTATTTTAAGTTGACAGATACCTGTTTAAGTTGTTTTCACAACGAAGCTGATGATATGTTTGTTATAACTTTTGCAAGCACTAATTTCAATAGTTAAAGTTTTGGTCCTTTTTCTTTCAAGTGATTCTTCAAAAGCAACCTTAACTGGTCAACAAATAATCACTGTATCTACATTCATTTGAAGACTACACTTCATTGTAAATGTTACGGACTTCTGTGTTCAGTGGGTATACCATACCTTTGGATAACGTATGTTGTTTAACGACGCCGAGTTATTATTGAAAGTTGGATGTAGCTTATTATGATACTCTGAAGATTTTCCTAACGTTAAAGGGAGTTTTTCTCGAGCATTCGTGACATCATATTATCGAAGAAGATATCTGAATCTATATATATCTGTGAACAGCTAGTTAGCTGTGTCGGGGTATTTCATACAGCAAAATCACTTCGGTGTCTTCATATAATTGTCCTGTGTAGACATGTTTCCAACAGAAGTATCGGGAGGGACTTCCCAGGAATATTTTGACCTTGACCAGGGCATAGGAGGAGTAGAGTACCAGGACTATCCCGACCCAATTGAATACTGGGCGGAAAACGCAGACACGTGGTCGACGGGCTGTCATGACCCTACTCAGCAAAGCTATTGTTACGACTACCACCAGCGTTGCCCCTCCAATGGTCCAGGGATGGCTGCATGTTCATTGTCACCGGACGGACAGTATGACAGCAGATCACAGGAATACCAAATCTGCGATATACAACATCATTTGGCGGAATCAAACCAAGGTAGAAGAAATAGCAGCAGTCAAAAAACGAAGGAGGTTCCGGCGGATACGGTTCGTGAAGGAGCGACGGAGAGAGAAAGACTACGTATGCATTCCCTTAACGACGCGTTCGACAGTCTGCGTCGCGTTGTTCCGAAATCGAACCTTAGTGACCATCACAAATTGTCAAAGATTGCTACGCTTCGCTTGGCGATCCACTATATTGCAGCGCTGGGCGGGATTCTAAAGAATAGTGGGGTCGAGGTTCGAGTCATCCAGGATAGGAGTACGGGGGACATGCGCGGAAAGCGAAGGAGGTTCCGGTCACGTGGGAGGAAGACGGGAAATACAACCAAACAGGGTATGTGAGGGGTGCGGAGCCGCGAACATTCCTACAGATATGCTGTTAATTATTGATGTCTTATAGTCAATCGTTTCTATGTAGATACGTGTAGTAATGGTTAAATAAGAACCACGAGTGTTATATCGGCAAAACTGGGCACGACACACAAGACATGGAATCATAGTTTTTAGACTTTTATTGTAAAATATGTTTACTTTGCAAGAATTCAATGATTTATAATTTCATAATTAAACAATGACTGCATCAGTCAGAGTTTCTTCCTCGAATTATAAACATTGGCGTCGTTTCAAGCACAGTGTCATAGCCAAGTTTGTTTATAAATGCTAAACTATTATTGTCTTGCTATATATATATGCATAGCTGCATAAAGAAGGTTTCATTATATGTGAATACGCGCTTACAAGTGTGAAGTAGTATCTAAGTAAAGCCGCTGAAATAAGTTTTACAGTACATGTATATATACCAAAAAGTAAGACTGTTACGTTACATGTGTATAAGCTCTAAAAGTGTACGGTTACATTACGTAAGTACACTGTATAAGAGATGTACAGACGCTGAAATAACCTTTACTTATTTTACAAAAATAATGAAACAATATTTTTTCTTCAAATTTTCCAATAAACACTCTTGTTGATTACACAAATAGGCGATAAATCATGTGTTACGTGTACGTTAAATAAATGCATCTACGGTAAAATAAGTGTGTTACATCATACATTTAGCGGAAGACGAAATCAATAAGTTTGTCAAAAGTGAATTTACTTAAGCTAAAATTTACGACAAATTCGGAAACGACACGGAACTATCTCCCCTTACATAAATTGAATTGCTGTTGCCATGCCAAACCATGAGACTATAATATTTAGTATTGCTAAATGTACCCACACAGTAGACTCGGGTGTATAGTGATTATCTCAGAAGTAAGTAGTAAAGTTCATGCATGATTGTTTATAGTGTACATACCCGGACAGGAGTGTCCGGTATTTTGTGTGTAGTTTCTCCTTTAGTTAGGTTGTCAGTGTGCGACTTCTGTTTCTAATTGAGTAAGATAATGTCCCGTATGTGTTTCCTCTTTACACACACAGTGTTGTCAAATTGTACCTATATTGATTTTTAATTAAAACGATGACAGAAGTGATGTTTATTGGTGCGTTAGAACTGCTTTTCGTTTATAGATGACACGATCGGAGAGACAATGAATAATACAATGTAACATTATGATAATACAATGTAACATTATGATAATACAATGTAACATATGATGATACAATGTAACATTATGATAATACAATGTAACATTATGATAATACAATGTAACATTATCATTATGCAATGTTACATAATTATCGCTTATGATAACACAATGTAACATTATGATAATACAATGTAACATTATGATAATACAAAGACAAATTATCATTATGCAATGTTACATTATTATCATACAATGTTATATTATTATTTTACAATGTTACATTATTATTATACAATGTTACATGCTTATTATACAATGTAACATGATTATTATGCAATGTTACATGATTATTATACAATGTTACATGATTATTATGCAATGTTACATGATTATAAAATAAATATTACCTTGTTCAATTTAACCCATTAAAGCCATATACTTTTTATTACATGTTATCCTATTTTTAATAAGAGTATAGTAAGACAGTAAATATAAATGACACATATTTCTGAATGTTGTATAGCCTTTATATGCGATGAAGTCTGTATGTGATTGTACCTACATAAATCTATGTGTAGACATGCCCTTTCTTTTTCACGTGAAACACATAATTCAGTTTTAAAAAAGTATATGAAATTGATGCGTCTCTCAAAATATTTATTTGAATTATTTTAGACAAAGACAATATCACTGTAGGAGTAGCTTATAACGGTGATTTGTTATCAATCTAACAGTAATAGTTTTAATTAGATATTGTAATACAGGTCCCACACTTACTTCTATAAAACTAAATGTTTGTCTTGTTTTATAGGTTCGTGTATGGTAGGTTAACACTGAGGAGGAAACACGGAGACACAGTGATATAATAACAAAGATCATACATATATATAATATATGATAATAATATAATTATATAATTAATAGATAGATAGCTTCAATAAATTATGGTGATATTTTCTGTTGAGTTTCTGCATTTCCATGTGAACTGCTCTATCAAAACACAAGTCATTTACAGCGTAGTGACAGTCATATTGTATAGATCCAGCCATCAATATGTACGGCTCATAGATCCAGCCATCAATATGTACGGCTCATAGATCCAGTCATCAATATGTACGGCTCATAGATCCAGTCATCAATACGTATGGCTGCTAGATCCAGCCATCAATACGTACGGCTGCTAGATCCAGCCATCAAAACGTATGGCTGCCAGATCCAGCCATCAATACGCATGGCTGCTAGATCCAGCCATCAATACGTACGGCTGCTAGATCCAGCCATCAATACGTATGGCTGCTAGATCCAGCCATCAATACGTACGACTGCTAAATCCAGCCATCAAAACGTATACGGCTCATAGATCCAGTCATCAATGAGTATACGGCTCATAGATCCAGTCATCAATGAGTATACGGCTCATATATCCAGCCATCAATACGTATACGGCTCATAGATCCAGTCATCAATAAGTACGGCTCATAGATCTAGACATCAATATGTACGGCTCATAGATCCAGCCATCAATATGTACGACTCATAGATCTAGCAATCTACATTCACGACTCATAGATCTAGCCATCAATAAGTATACGGCTCATAGATCTAGACATCAATATGTACGGCTCATAGATCCAGCCATCAATATGTACACCTCATAGATCCAGCCATCAATATGTACGGCTCATAGATCCAGCCATCAATATGTAGGACTCATACATCTAGCCATCAACATTCACGACTCATAGATCCAGTCATCAATAAGTACGGCTCATAGATCCAGACATCAATAAGTACGGCTCATAGATCCAGACATCAATAAGTAAGACTTATAGATCCAGACATCAATAAGTACGGCTCATAGATCCAGACATCAATAAGTACGGCTCATAGATCCAGACATCAATACGTATACGGCTCATAGATCCAGTCATCAATAAGTACGGCTCATAGATCCAGACATCAATAAGTACGACTCATAGATCCAGCCATCAATATGTACGGCTCATAAATCCAGCCATCAATACGTATACGGCTCATTGATCCAGCCATCAATATGTACGACTCATAGATCTAGCCATCAATACGTATACGGCTCATAGATCTAGCCATCAATACGTATACGGCTCATAGATCCAGCCATCAATATATACGGCTCATATCTGCAGCCATCAATAAGCACGGCTCATAGATCCAGCCATCAATATGTACGACTCATATCTACAGCCATCAATACGTACGACTCATAGATCCAGCCATCAATATGTACGGCTCATAGATCCAGCCATCAATATGTACGACTCATAAATCCAGGCATCAATATGTACGGCTCATAGATCCAGCCATCAATACGTATACGGCTCATAGATCTAGCCATCAATACGTATACGACTCATAGATTCAGCCATCAATACGTATACGGCTCATATATCCAGCCATCAATATGTACGGCTCATAGAACCAGCCATCAATATGTACGACTCATAGATCTAGCCATCAATATGTACGGCTCATAGATCTAGCCATCAATACGTATACGGCACATAGATCCAGCCATCAATACGTATACGGCTCATATATCCAGCCATCAATATGTACGGCTCATAGAACCAGCCATCAATATGTACGACTCATAGATCTAGCCATCAATATGTACGGCTCATAGATCCAGCCATCAATATATACGGCTCATAGACCCAGCCATCAATACGTATACGGCTCATTGATCTAGCCATCAATACGTATACGACTCATAGATTCAGCCATCAATATGTACGGCTCTAATAATCACGTTGTATCGGTTCTTCTCCCATCTTTTTTTCTGAATTGTCTCCATTTTGACCTGTTCGAAATTTCTGTGTCACTCTCAGGGTAAGATGTGTCTTTCATCCCCTGGGATATGATAGATGGAACACGAAAAGAAACAATACGATGATGCCAGGGGAACAATGAATTACGACGACACAATCAGCTTTCGATGGAAGAAGACAAATGCCAGTCAAATATGCCATTATGAATGTCGGTGGGTAATGAATAATAAGACGGAAGGAAAAGCAATCAGCTGCTACATGTACCTAGGGGGATGCTAGATAACCAGAAATCTCTAAACTGTATGTAGTTCCTGTCATTACTGTGTATAGGTTCTCTCATTACTGTGTATAGTTCATGTCATTACTGTGAATAGTTCCTGTAAATACTGTGTATAGTTCATGTCATTACTGTGTATAGTTCCTGTCATTACTGTGTATAGTTCATGTCATTACTGTGTATAGTTCCTGTCATTACTGTGTATAGTTCATGTCATTACTGTGTATATGTTCTGTCATTACTGTGTATAGTTCCTGTCATTACTGTGTATAGGTTCTGTCATTACTGTGTATAGTTCATGTCATTACTGTGTATATTTCCTGTACATACTGTGGATAGTTCATGTCATTACTGTGTATAGTTCCTGTCATTACTGTGTATAGTTCATGTCATTACTGTGTATAGTTCCTGTCATTACTGTGTATAGTTCCTGTCATAACTGTGTACAGTTCCTGTAATCTCTGTGTATAGTTCCTGTTATCACTTTCTATAGTTCCTGTCACTTCTGTTAACAATTCCTGCCATTACTGTTATTTGCTCCTGTCATTACTGAGTATATTTCCTGTCATTACTGTGTATAGTTCCTGTCATTTTCTGGGTATAGTTCCTGTCGTTACTGTGTATAGTTCCTGTCATTACTGTGAATAGTTCCTGTTATTACTGTGCATAGTTCCTGTCATTATTGTGTATAATTCCTGTCATTACTGTGTTTAGTTCCTGTCATTG